TATTATTATTATTTATATATGATGATATACACAAATGTTTTTATTAATTATTGTTATGGTTGTTTTGTATTGTGACTACATTATAGTGTCATTTTTAACTGCATCTTTTGTGTGTTTGTGATTTTTATTTTTATTTAAATTTTTTAAATTAACATAGTACATCATCAATTACAAGTTCGCAATAGTTGAATCAATAATTGGATTTATTTATAAGAAAAATTAAATAATTATACTAAAATTGACGAAATACAAATAACACGAAAAGCAATCATCATTAACTATAATAATCTTTTATAATTGTCCAAAAGTGTTTGTGCTAATCTATCAGCTCTTCTTGTATTCTCTTGTTTAATTATTTCTAGAAACAAACCAAAATCTTCTCCATCCTCTCTAATGGATGCTTTAACTAAACTAAGCAGCTCATCCATTCTTTGGTTAGTAGTTATTCCACGTCTTTCATCAAGAACTTTGGTTTTCTCTCGTTCATTTATCATCCTCTTCTCAAGTAGCTTATCTACTAATGTATTCAGATCGAGTCTTTCCTTTATCATTCCAGTACATTCTGTCATTACTCTAAGAGCAATATCAGATCTAAATGTATCTATTAATGATCAGTGATTAGTGTGTTATTATGTTATATAATATCAACTTACTAGCTCCTCCAGTGGATGATACTGACGTTGAATCATGTACTACATTAGAGGAGGAGGTAGTAGGATCTGATTAATATTAAATAAATAAATAATTGAAATGATTTGTATGTACTTGTTGAAGGAGGAGGAGAAAGAGGAGTAGTTCTCAGTGATCGGTGAATGAATAATGTCTTAGGATCAGCCACTCCATCCAGTGGTATAAAATAGTGCAATGATGGTACAGCACCAGGTGACCCATATACTGATATTAGACAAGTGGAAGGAAGAGGATAATTAGCTTCACCAAAATTGTCAACATCAAAGCAATACAACAGAGTAATCAGTATAATTAATATAATATCAGTATAATATAAAAGAAGAGAGTAATCAGTATATACATAATAACACAACAGAATATACAGATAATATATGCACACAAAAGACTGGTTCAACGAATGTACAAAACATTAGATAATCATATTCAATATTATTTCTAGCTTATACAAATTTGCACTGCATGTACAGTAGCCCATAAATACATGTACTATGATTATTGCTAATCATACCATATATGGAAAAGCAGAGCTCACTCTACATCAATCTCATTATTTCTAATGCATGGACAATTTGACCTATATTGAGTACAGGATACCATTTCCATACTCAACATTGTCTAATCCACTAGTATCATAATGTAAACCAGTACTAATACACACACTCACACTACCAATAACCACACAATACTACATAATAGTAATCAGTTAGTACAGTTAAAGTGTGTGTGTGTGTGTGTGTAGTATCCTATATACCTTGTTTATTGGCCTCAACCAGTGCCTCCTGTAGTGATACTTTGTTCTCATGAGCCACTTGTAGGTCTTGATGTAAAGATTGTATGTATCTCTGAAGCTTCATTTCCCTCTCTGTTGGATATTCTATTAGCTGATCCATCCACCATCTTCTGGTCTTGCTGTAT